ATGTCCGAATAAATTCATCAAAAACACATTGTTGATGTGGTTTACAACCTTGTCCAGTTTGGAAAAAAAAATTCCAAGGTGGGATTGTGCATCATCTTTTATTTTTGAACTGAATTGTGCATCATCTTTGAGGAGCATATGTATTTGAACTAGAATTATGATTGTTGTCTATTAATCTTAAGTTAGATGTTGATTAATTAATGTGTAACTTTTAAGTCTGTTTGAAAACATACTGCTAAGATTACATAACAGGCACTGATTTCATGATTAATTTAGCTTTTGGTTCCAAATATATATTAAAAAACAAAAGAAACACTTCTTTTTGGGTTTTTCTTATAAACTGCCGACGTCAAATTTGTGTTTATAAGAAAATTGCCATCAATGCCAAGGCATATAAGCTGGATTAGATTTATATGGAAAGAACAAAAAGGGAAGGTATGTGAAATTAAATAATGGTGCGGTGTACGAATGGTCCAACGTAGCACATGGCAATTTGCATTTACGAATGCATATCTCTGCATGTGTGTAAATAATCTTGTCTTCAATTATTTGATCGTGGTTTGGTATGCCTAAGCCTAGATGGTTGGTGTTAGTTATAGCCTATCTTTGCAAACTTTTACGTATAAACTATCAAAATCAAGTTGATGCATATCACAAGACAAAGAAAAAGCTCTCTGTAATCAATTCGTATAACTTTTGGCCGACTAAACCGGTCTCTACACATTTTGTGCCTTTCGGGTCTTTTATTTTGCCCAATATTATGATAACCTCATAAGTATGAGAGCAGTTTATGTTTTTTTGAATCCATTACAGCTAGGAGATGCTTATGCTACAATAATTAAAGTCAAACGATTTCAGGCAAGACATCTTTAAGCTCTCGCATAGTAAACTATACTGTGATTTATATTTGACACAGTTCCGTTAGATATTTATTTTTAATACATTATACAAGTATGTAACACACATGGTGTAGATAGGCATAGAAGTAGATGGATCGTGTCCACTTGTTTCACGAACTTCCTTATCCCATTTACCCCACAAAGGATTTAGCGAATCTTGCTATCCCCATCCATCTTCTATTCACGTTTCGAAAGCAAACAAACTGAAATCAAAATGACGAAAGTGTCCACACATTCCCGCCGAAATGTTGGAAGAAAAAATAATAAATCGCATTTGGGTGACATGGAGCAGTCCAACATGTCGTTATGAAATGATCTTTAATTAAGCTATAATAAAAAGCTAAAATGGAGAAATTTCAAAAATTAAACGCTCAGGACTTCTAGTTGTGGAGATATTTCTGTTTTTTCTTCTTCTCTAAATGAATTACATTCATAAAATATGTCATTTAATACTTGCCCTTAATTTGTTTTCATTTAAAACTAGCTAAAGCTTTTCGACATGTAAATTAACGTTCAATCTCGTTGATTCTTCTTTGTAGCAATGACATTTTATTCATTATTACTTTCCCATGCAGAGTCGGTCCTAGAAAATAGGCCTTTGTCTACACCTCGAACCTAGGTTGGGGGCATGAAAAGTTAATAGCCATGATAATTTACCACTAGAATAAAGGAATCTTTTAAAATTTTGTGACCGAAATTGATGTTATAATAAATCGGCCGGAAGCCAATGATTCCTTAGCTTGGTCCAAAAGCCACTTCTGTTCCATGTTTGTAAATGGATTGTCTCTTTTGAAGAGAGCTCGTTTTCCTTTATAATCCATATATGGAGTGTTTGCTCTAAAAAATGAAAGCTTGAAAGATAACTAATAAAGCTTATTGTGTTAAAAAAAAATAAAAAGCTAATAAGGCTTATAAAGTTCATAAAAACAAGAAATCTAGAAGAGGAAAATATAATGTAGAAGCATGCATAATTCACATTCATCTAAAAAACCTTCAAGGCAAATTACAACTCCAACAACAAACCACAAATACAACACAAACCAACCGACAAGATTCATCTAAAAGAAGATCCAACGGTCACATAGAAACGATGCGAAATAAAAACAAATCAAATCACAACATTAACTTTTTGGCGTCTTCAGTAATCAGTGGTGGGTAATTGCTCGTGACCGTTCTCGATGAGGAAAACAAAGTCGTAGATGAGTCCGGCGAGTCCACCACCGACAAGAGGACCAACCCAGTAAATCCAGTGGTTGCTCCACGACCAGCTCACGACGGCTGGTCCGAAAGCAACGGCTGGGTTCATGGAGGCTCCGCTGAAAGCTCCACCCGCGAGGATGTTAGCTCCAACGATGAAACCAATGGCGATTGGTGCGATTGTTCCGAGGCTACCGTTTTTGGGGTCGATGGCTGTGGCGTAGACGGTGTAGACGAGCCCGAAGGTCATCACGATCTCGAAGACAAGACCGTTTAAGGTTCCAACTCCTGCGGAGAGACCGAACGCTGGAACTGCCTGAAAAATTAAATGTTTTGAAAAAAGTAGGTTTAGTTGCTTGTCGGAAAAGTTAGGTCAAAAAGTGTGATTTTAGTTGGAATGTTTATGTAACTTTTTTTTTATGTAACTAAAAATATCAAATCAAAAAAATTTAATTTCTTATGTGAGTTAAAACATATTTTACTAAAAACTAAACATGAACAAATTATTAAAAACTCAAACTATAAATCGAACATAATGTTTTAATTAGTTTTCTAACAATAAACCAGATCACAAACCTAAACTTAGTTTCTTTTTTTTATTAACCATATAGTTTAGTCCACCAAAACTGAACCCAAACCAAACCATTTGTACAAAATTTATTCAATAGTTTAGCGACAAATCTCTGAAACCAAAACATTAAAACCAATCTAGTATAGTAATAATAAGTAAATGACGTTACCAAGCCACCGGTGGCGAACTGAAGGAGGAAGCAAGCGGCGACTGAGCCAAGAAGCTGGGCAATCCAATAGAGGATACCACGGAGGAGAGTGATGTTTCCACCGAGGAAGGCACCAAAGGTAACGGCAGGGTTAACGTGTCCACCGGAGATGTTAGCACCGACGGAAACAGCAACGAAGAGACCAAAGGCATGAGCTAAGGCAGCGGCAACAAGGCCTGAAGGAGTGGTGGCTCCATTGTCAGTGAGCTTGTTGAAAGCGATTCCGGAGCCTGAGCCGGCGAAGACAAAGATCAAAGTCGAGATAAACTCAGCGAGGGCCGCCCTAAGTGCGCTGGGGTGAGTCACTTCTTCTTGGACTCCACCGATGGCGATGTTTCTGGTCGGCATGGTCGGAGAGATTTAATTGGTTATAGGTTTAAACGTTTTGAGAGTAGTGATTGGTCTGCTTTTCTTTCGTGTGTTTAGGTATATATATAGCCAAGTGTGTGTTAAATCAGAGTGTAGATAGAACCATTTCTTTTATAATATAAACAATTATTTTTAAAATAAAATAAAATATGTGAGCCAAAAAGTTTTATAGAAATACGAGAAATTTTAAAGAAATTTGAATTGTCTGTCATAGATAGTTACATTTTTTTTTTGTCAACAGAAAAGTTACATATCTTACCAATATAGTCGGATATATTTATCTTGCATAACATGACTATTTACAATATTTTGACAGTAATAAATAAAACAATGTAATTGATGATTTTCTTTTGTTCTTAATCTTATGTTAATTAAAAAAAAATCCGAGACCGAAGACCGTTATAGATGAACCACATGGTGATGTCCTGGCAGTGTCCTTATTCGCTTTGATACTTGGTTAGAAAAAAAAAAAAAAAAATTCATGCATTGCTTGGTACGTAAAAGTTATATTGAAAGTATGAAAGTAAAAATTGTGGAATGATGTTTTTGGTTTTTTTTTAGCGGAAAAGAAAAGAGGAATAGAAATGAATGAGTGGTTGTAATTGCCTTGTTCGATTAGAATCGATCCGGTTGCAAGATTGTGATACGGGTCTAACCGAAATAGAAAACCGGTTTGCTATCAAACCGCGACGATTATGGACAAATTAATGAAGGAGAAGTCACATGGTGGATCCCGTTGTGATCACGTGTCGGTCGGTTTATAGCGATAATTGGTTAGTGAATGGGATACAGCTGGCTATGTCACGACCAATCATAAGTGCCAACCTGTCCTTTACCCTCTCCCACTCTTTAGACCTTACTTTCCTTAATTTTCCCATGTTTTTCTTTTGTACCCATTCATTATCTTCTGAACATTCTGATTAATTGCTTTCATCTTTTTTTTTTGAAAAAAGTTTTTAATTGTTTTCATCTTCTTCTTCTTTTGTTGAAGTGTTTTTAATAGTTTTCTTTACTTCTCACATTCCTGTAGTGTTAGAGCACCCCTATCAAGAGATGATGGAGGGAATTCACATGCAAACCAAGAAAAAAAATAATATTAAAATCAGATTTCTGTGAACCCTTTTCTCAAAAGTTTACTGCGGTGAACCCCGATGACTCTGGATTCACCACGTGTCAGCTAGTGATTGGTCTATTATTAATTTTTTTTTAAAGTAAACACAAATTTTAAAAAAAAAAAAATTATTTGTGTGAACTCCCGAAGGGGAGTTCATCAATGTAGATGCTCTTATAGTTCTTGATTTCTATTTTTCTTTTATTAACTAAAAGGTATCTGGATCTTCGATCTAAAATCTTTTAGATATGAGATCAGTCGCGTTAATATCATTTTTGGTATAAAATATATTTCCAATACAAATTAAATTCAAGTGACGATAGTTATAGTCGCAATCCATTTATCATTAGACTAATTCTTGATTTCTTTCACTCTTCTCATAAACTGTGTCTTCGCTTCAAAAAATGAAAATATAAGCAACCCTTCTTTAGATTATGCATCTTGCCTTTTTACAGCCGTTGATTTTTCTTTTGTCGTCATATCACCTACATTTTGTATTTCTTTTCTATTGTTATTGTTTCTTTTTAAAATAAACGAAAAGGAAATAAGATAGATTTGAGCAACTATTGTTAAGATATTAATAAGCCCTTTTTCAGAAAAAAAAACTATAGTTAAAACCAAAACATTACTGTTCAAAAGATTATATATGAGCTATAAATATACCAAAATATGCTAATTCACTGTTGTCAAATCAAACTAATTATAATAGAAGGCAATAATGAACGGGCCTGCGAAGCTTTTTCTTTTCTCCATTATCGCCGGCCTGGCAGAATGGCCGGTGGCGATTTTTGACCTCTTAAGTTCCCAACATTAAAAATCAAATGAGTAACTCTTATATAGATGCTGAAATACGTAAAAGCTTTATATCAAAATACCCTTAAGTACGCATGAGAGCTAACAAAATTAGTGAATTTCACGTTTACATTTGTGAAACTTATCTAGAACAATTGGATCTCAAAATGGAGCTTACTTAAAGCAACTTACCAGCAAAATTATAATTCTATGATAGATGAAAAACCTCCAAAATAATACTGTCGAATTGCAATGACTACAGATTTTTTTTTTGTTTTATGGTTACAGAGTTTTTATATGAATTGGAATAATTATGTTTCAAGTTAATCGATTCTTAGACGTGACATTGCTAAAGAGAGAACATATATCCAGACAAATGAAAAAAATAATTGAATGATTAGAATAGAAAAAAACCTGATTAATTTAGACTGCAAAAGGCTCAAAAAAATACTGAGCACTGCGTCACAAATATGAAAAGAAGAATATGCTTTTGGGATATGAGGCTAACCAAACTTACGCTTTCATAATTAATCAAACGAAAAAGACAACCCGATTAGGTAATGTATATAAATAATGAGAGCATCTAATCATTTCTACAAACTTTAATACTTCCTTAAGCATAAACAATAAAACAAGAGGTCGCCGTCGCTTATACGTGCACCATATATGCATGTGCAAATGCGTTTTTGGATTCTTTTTAGATAGGGTTTACAATTTTTCAAAAGTTATTATCCTTTTACAAGACACGAGAAATGGTGTAGAGCAGTTTATGTGTTCCTGTCTCATGGACATATATATATATGTAATTCTTGCAATGAAATTCCAAGTAGCCGCAAGCTTTTTTGTCAAAATAATATATTTTCATGCTTTGCCGTCCAACCTATAGTATAATTTGATTAGTATCATAACTTTTATATAATCCATGTTTTCTCTCATTAAGTGTATATATTAGAACAAACAAGAACAAGGCAAAGATTCGAGATTAGAATACTACCGAAAGTCCAAAACAGATAACGTTTTATATGTTTAAGTACACGTAGTGGACAAAGAATTTAGATTAGAATACTAAGAATGACTTGGTATTGGGATCAACAATAGGACTATTATATAAACAGCTTACTCCAAAATAAGTGGTTAGTGTGTAAATGTCACTTCGCATTTTAAATTCATTAACGGGTGATGACTAATTGTTGTACATTATTAATTAATCTCTTAATAAGTGTTATCCTCTTTCTATGCATTGGCAAATAATGTTATTACTAGGATAAGATCCGCGCCTTACGCGGGATGAAATTGTTATTTTTATTATGTTTTCAAAAATAAAACAATAGTTCGGTTCATTTGGATTAGGGGTGTTCAATCCGGATATCGGGTTTTAGTTCGGTTTGATTTTTTGGTATTTTGTTTATTAAAATATAACTACTATTTTAAATCCAATTTGGTTTATATACCATCGGTTTTCAGTTTATTCAGTTTTATACCAAAAAAACATAATTATTTATTTTGAGATCATATTATAGATTATACAAATATATAATATGATTATATTTAGAGTCATATTGTCAAAAAGTCATTTATTAAAAATATATTATATATTTAAATAAAAGAACAAAAAAGGTTTCTATCATCTAATAAAATGATGAAATATGGAATTAATATCAAAATTCTAAGTTTTGCAAATAAAAATAAAAAACAAAACAGAATGAGAGAAAAGTTTTTATATTCTTCCATATTTAGTGTTCATCAAATTAATATGTCTTCGATTGAACACAGCTCTGTTTGTTTAAAGATAAAAAAAAAATTGTAAAGAATTTCAACTAATTGTTGTCCATCAAATTTATAATCTTTACTTTGATCTAATTACTGTTAAAATAAAGCAAAAATATAAAAAAAAAGATTAAAAAAGTAAGAAGCCTCAGTTGCAGTAAACTGTTAGTTAATTATAGTTCAAGTGATTCAAGTGATTTACAAATTGTAATTATAGTTCAACTCATATAACAAATAGATATTCATGCGACATTATAAATATATACATATTTATATGTTTCAGTTTAATCGTTTATAAATTAAACCATATCCAAATCCTACAGTTTTTATAAAATCACATCCATTCGGTTAGTATGATATATACCAAAAAAACATATTATGGATTGTTTAATATTTGTAATAATATAAAATTGAAAAAAAGAGCTAAGATATTTAATTCATTGATAACAAAAAAATTTCAGTGTGAAAAATTAAATAAGTTTATAATTTATAAATGTTCTTGAAAATTCATTGAAATTTTTGAAATTAAAATATTTATTTAATCTTATATTGTATATAGTTTAATCTATATATATATATATATATATATTTGCTTTATTATTGAATGATACTTTTTACTCATATGGTTTAAAAATCATGTGTATCTTTTTATAATAAAAATGTTAAACTATTGATCATTAATTTTTATCATAAGAATTTTCATAGTTTTAGTCATTTATTCTCGTTTTGTAAAATTTAAAATATAATATATACGAAAAAATCTAAAGTTTAGTTTTATAGCTAATTTGATTGTTTAATTTATTTTAATAATATAAAATTAAAGAAAATATGATGGAGGAGACATAAATTGTTATCAAATATTTATTATTAGAATCATTAATTATCATATATATATTAGTCATTTATGGTAATTCTGTAGGTTTTATTTAAGGAAATAAAATAAAATAGTAATTATATCTAAGGAAACAATCATAAATGCTTCTATCGTAAATATCATATTATATCATCATGTCATATAGTTTGACCAACTAATATATCTAGCGGCATATAAAAATCCAATGTGGACCTACTTAATTTTCAATTGAATGTAATTGACTACCTAATTGAGTGACACCTAAGCATGAGATCCTTTTTTAATTATTACAAAATTGACGTTACAATTTTTCAAATGTTTCTCTTTTAATATATAGGGGATGTGTTTCTATTTATTCATCCAAACTCCAAAGACATGTGGTGCATGTAACATCTCATGCGTCTCCAATCATGGACCACGTCAATTACTTCGTTTTCTCTTTTTTATCTACTTTGGCTTTAAAAATACTTTTTGCCCAATAAAATTTTGAGAGTGAATAAATTACCTTATAGAGTAAAACAATGAGGTTTATATGCCTCATCAAGGAAATGTACAAGAATTTGCTTTGACATATCTAACAACTGGTCACAGAGATTAGAAAACCTCAGATATAAAACCACAAACCGCAATATAGAAAAAAAGACTTGGGAGTAGATACATATGTCCTTCCACATGGTTTCAATTTGAACATTGTTATGGATGTGAGAAGTAAAACAGACTCATTTATTAATTAATTAACGGATATCTTACTACTATCTTCATTTAAGGGGTGACTCAGAGCAAGCAAACACATGAGTGAAGAGGACAAATAAGAAACCATGACCAGTTAACTTCATATCAAGACATTAAACTAAATAACGAGTTCAAAATGCAAGAAAAAAGTATACCATCAGTGATGAAAAGTCTTTGTGCAATACAAACTGATAGAGTAACGTTAGAGAAAATCAGGATTCAGAAACAAGAGAGTAGTATTAAACAAACAGAAGCCATCCTTTTTCAGTTGAATAATCTCAATTTACAAGTTATCAAATACCACAAATTCACATAGAAAAAAATACTGAGGACAAAGCACTGTATGGAACATACACTTACCAACAAACTGAACATAAGTAAATTAAAATGAGGAAAAAAGAGAATATGTGATCAATGAAAACAAATAGAGACATGCATTTTGAAAGACACCAGGTTTGTCTGCAAATCCTTTTAAACACATGTGATCGGATCTTACTGCATGACACAATCTCTTTTGCTAAGATTCATACATGGTGGCTGAAAGTGATGATCGCTCATGAAGCCGTTTAAGCAGGTAGAGCAAAAGGCATCAATAGGATAATTTTTTCAAGCTGATGCAAGCAACCATACTTAACGTTTAAGTTCAACCATACAATCATCATGTTCCATAAGATATTTGGTGGTCATAGAACTGAAATACTGAAAAACCGAGCTCAACATTATCGCGTACGAAGCACGTAAAGACCCCTAGAAAGGTTAACTCCTTCTTGCCTAAGCATGAACAACTCAAACACCTCCTTGCTTCTCTCATTACCACAACATTCACTGATATAGAAAAACGCCAATTGTATTATAGCACTTTCATATAGAAATTCTAACAAGTGCCACCTAATTCTCTTCTCTTACTACAAGTCTACATCCAAAGAACAAAAATTCCCAACCTTTAATTTTGGTGATTCTTTTCACAAGTGAGTGGTAGCTGTGATTTCCTGATCATCATCATCATCATCAACATCTTCTTCATCATCATCCACTGCTCATATCTCCTCTCTGTAGATTCTCCTCTTCATTCCTTATACATCTAATTCCCTCTTGATATTCTTTTAAGACATGACTCTTCCTTCAGGTTTCTCTAAACCACTCGCTTTAAGCCTTCTCACCTCTGCATACCAAGATCACCTCTCGCTTGTTTCTCTCCCAAGGAATCTCCTCCTTTCTTCAAGAAAAACAATGCCCTATTCCTTCCTCCTCAGAAACACACTTCTCTTCCCTTGAAACTCGTGTGTCCTTTAGCTAGCTTCTCTTCTTATGCTGAGAAACACCATGACGATCAACAGATACAGAGTTCTCACGAATCTTCTATCAATTCCATGGAATCAAATGAAAAATTCCATGCAGAAGCTACTGGTGACTTATCTGGAATGTATGTCTCAAGCCTTTAACATTTTGTCAAAAAAACAGAGAAGGCAATCACCATAGTCACAGCCTTTTCAGTTCTTGAATTCTCAGGTGCAATTTTGATGTGAACTCACGTAGCTAGCACGATACAGAAAGAGATTCTCATGGCTAATGTGTTCCAAGGGAAAGATATGTTGCTCTTCGCTGGTGGTGAGGTTGGTTGAATACAAATATTTGATTAGCTATGGCATATGAGACAGACACCCTATAGTCACTTAAGTATATCTTGCAACCTCAAGATCTCTCAGGAGGAAATGGTTATACTAAATGTAAATTATATTTTGATTCATGTATAAATATTGTAAGGAGACGAGATTATATTTCATAAAAGTATTTGACGTCTATACAAAACTGGAGCTATGAGATTTGGAAGATCAAGATTCAAGAAGCTGCTTCTAACGGTAATATATTCTAATTAGTCACATTGAGAATCAACATTAATAAGCTTACCTTGTGTAAATGCACTCAAATTTTCATAAACTGGAAAGTAGCCGTTGGATAATTGGAAAAGAAAAGGAAACAAAAGAGAATACAAATAAGTCAAATCATTCTTCATAGATTTTCACAATCTTTCTTCTCTCAACATAAAATCTGCCATGAATCCTAAAAGATGTGCTGCTTGCAGATATCTGAGAAGAAGATGTCCAAAAGATTGCGTTTTCTCACCTTATTTCCCTCCAAACAATCCTGATAAATTTGCATGTGTCCACAGAATCTATGGTGCTGGAAATGTTTCCAAAATGCTTCAGGTATATAAGATCTTTTGTGTATCTGTTGTAAAGCCACATCTAAGATAACATAATTGTATCAATAGTTTATATATAAATACTGATGGTGGATTTTTGACAGCAACTTCCTGTTCAGACAAGAGCTGAAGCAGTGGAATCTTTGTGCTTTGAAGCAACATGCAGAGTTGAAGATCCTGTTTATGGATGTGTTGGGATAATTTCTTTGCTCCAAAATCAGATTCAAAAAACCCAAAATCTTTTGCCTAGGACTCAAGCTGAGATTTCTGTTGCTCAAATCAAACCTAGCCAAAACCAACATTCTGCATTTATGTAATATCTTAGTTTTATCAAATAAATTTCCAAATAAAAATTCTATTCTACATCTCTTTAGCTGGTTGCGTCTCTACTCTCTTGTATGCGTTTGTTTTCAAACGTTGCTTGTCTCATAAAGTTTAAAAGCTTGTCTCATAAAGTTTCAATAGAATTTGTGTAAGAAGTTCTTCATGTTCTATCTTGATTTTTCCACCAATTACTATGCTAATTCAAGGCCATACGCTGGCAATTTCAACGTTACTTTCCTTACGTTTCTTTGTTACAAATACAATAGTTGTAATAATCTTTGTATTATATTGCATGGTTCAAAATCATATGATAGGTTTGTGTGTTTATCTTCTTTATTTACTGTGACCACACACACATATAAAGAAACAAGCCCAAAGTGTAAAGCCCAAACTGAAAATGAGGTCAAGGATTGATGATTTGTGATCATAGAAATATCCACTACAAGAAATATGTACATTGTTAACCCGAATTATATGTTATATTAGATGTTTGATAGCGTTTTCATAAATGCTATGTATACGACAGCAATCATAGATACCCCCTATGGTAGCGTTTTTTGTGATGCTAAGAAATGTAGGTTTACGATACCGTTAACTGATCGATGTTATTAGCGAATCTATGGCACGGTTATTTTCTGTTACAAAATGATTACGATACATATATCGTGCTATGGTAGGGTCTTCTAGCAAAACTTTTTTCTGGTAATTGTAGTTGATAAGTGCTATACTAAAAGTTTTGATAGCTTTAATATAAGTTATTATTGTTTAAATTACATGTAATTTAAAATGCTATGAGTGTTATTATAACAGTTTTTTTTTAGCTATTTTTACTGCTGTTAAGAGCAATGATTATTTCGAATATTTGGTTTCACGAAAATAGAAATTCATAATCAAACAAATCCATTCATAAAAAATATGTTTCAATACATAAGTCATTACTGATGCCGATGAAAAACAGATACCTGATGCCGATTGAAAACAGATACCAAAGCCTTAAGAAATAATATCATACATGAAGTTCATTAGCCTATCTTAAAACTAGCTAATCTGGACTTAAGTTCTTCATTCCCCCTTGCAGGCTGCAACAATAAAAACTCGGATCAGTCAAGGCAATTACATATGCAGGTTATAACACAAAATACAACACTTACATCAGCTTAAAAGATGACCAATTTATCAATTGGCCAGGCAATTGATGAACCATGTGCATCTTTCAAACACTCTATCTCATTTGATTTCCTCCAAACATCTGCATCATTTTCGAGCACTGCATCTACCCACATTCTAGCTGCTTTCGGATCTAATCGTACAAAGTGGACCATTTGAGCTGGGTCTGTTGAATGCACACGTCCTTCAGCAACAACTAGTTTCCTCCCACCAATGTCCATCAGTTTGGACTTCTAAATGAGTTTCACAGCTCCAAGCTTTAACTGATACTTTATAAAAGCATGACCATAACTTAAAAAAACAGAGATTAATATAACAAGATGATTGCACATGTGTGAAAAAAATACCTGATCAGTTGGTGGAGACTCCTCAATAGGAGCAGATGTTGCACCATTTGTCACGCTTTTCCAGTAAGAGACTTAAAACCTTCAGATGTAATGTTGATTTCTGATTCTCTTCTGTTTCCTACTGAAGAGACATTGTTTGGAGTAGGAGATTGTTGTCTTGTTGCTGCTGGTGGGTTCTCAAAGACAACTTTTCGAGCAGACAATGATATAAAAGTGTGTAAGCAGTCCTCAAGATATGCAAAATCCATCGTAGGCCTCCATAAATATGTTCCGTCCTCATGCACAACATCCATCAATACTTTAACAGCTTTATGACCGAGAGGAATTCCATTAACAGCTAAGAAGGTTATCATTACAGCTTCAGGCAAAGGAGACATCCCAACTTATGTTGTTGGTGTCAACGCTGATGATTACAATCCTGATGAACCGATCATTAGCAATGCTTCTTGCTACTAACTGTCTTGCTCCCTTTGTCAAAGTTCAAGACCAGAAGTTCGGTATGCAATGGTTTCTCTTTAGTCCTTTCAGACCAATGATACTAGTAACTAATCATGTTTTGTAATTATTCTTAGGTATCATAAAGGGTACAATGACAACTACTCACTCATACACTGGTGACCAGAGGTTACTAGATGCTAGCCACCGTGATCTAAGGAGAGCAAGAGCAGTTGCTTTAAACATTGTTCCCACATCTACATGAGCAGCTAAAGCCGCGTGGCTCTTGTGCTCCCTAATCTCAAAGGAAAACTCAATGGAATAGCTCTCCGTGTCCCAACACCAAATGTATCAGTGGTTGATCTCGTTGTGCAGGTCGCCAAGAAGACTTTCGCTGAGGAAGTTAACGATGCTTTCAGAGACTCTGCAGAGAAAAAGCTTAGAAGGTATCTGATAGACTCTAGTTATTGTTAATCTTGTAAGAATCTTCTCTTGTATTACTTTGAATATAGAAGTGTTTACAGCTTTGAAGTACGATTTCGAATCACTCTCATCACGAGTTCATCTCCATCGTCAGTCTCATAACGACTGTTAGCTCTAGACTCATAACGTCAAAGAGTTTCAACAAACAAAGCATAAACACAACTCACAACGACTACTTCCTTTTATACTATCTGACTTAGACGATTTAATCTATAACTGCTAACCCTCTCTTTCCACCCGAGGTTCTTCAACTCTTCTTATTCTTTAAAGTCTCTCTCCTATTCAGAAGGTTCGATTTAATCTATAACTGCTAACCCTCTCTTTCCACCCGAGGTTCTTCAACTCTTCTTATTCTTTAAAGTCTCTCTCCTATTCAGAAGGTTCCTCGTTTGAACCATTTCCCTCCACTTCAACGTCTTCTTTCTCCTCTCCTCTCTTCTTTCTTCGAACATATACTTTCTTGAACCTATCAATACTTCCCCCAACGAAATCCAGCTTGCCCTCAAGCTGGTAATCAGGAAAACAAGTGATGAATTCCTGATATGGCACCCAAGAGTTTTCGAGGAAAGACCGATCCTGCCAAGTAACCAACAACTCCAACTCCCCTTGCGCATTATAACGCTTCTCCAAAATCTCTTCAGGACGTACAGCCTCTTCAGCCTCTGTAAGATCACCCGGTGGCAACAATGCACTCTGCTCATGAGACCCCAACGCCGCTTTCAATTGTGAAATATGAAAAACAGGGTGAATCTTAGCCTCTGGTGGTAACTGTAACTTGTACGCAGTAGCCCCAATACGTTCTAACACCCGGTAAGGACCAAAGTATTTTGCTGATAACTTTTGGCACCATCTATTCTTGACCGAGCGTTGACGGTAAGGTTGAAGTTTCAGAAACACCATGTCCCCAACCTCAAAGTGAACATCTCTGCGCGACTTGTCAGCTTGAAACTTCATGATCTCTTGAGCGCGAGCAAGATTATCCTTCAGAACCACCAACACTTCATCTCTATCACGCAAAGCACGCTCAAGCTCAAAGTTATTGGTGGAACCCATTTCAAAACGCAACAAAGGAGGTGGATCCCGGCCATAGACAATCTTGAAAGGAGTCGTTTGAATGGATTTATGAAAGGTAGTATTATACCACAACTCAGCCCATGCCACATACGATTGCCAAGTGCGCGGATGTGAAGACGAGAAACTGCGCAAATAAGTCTCTAAACACCTATTCAAAACTTCGGACTGTCCATCGGTTTGAGGGTGAAAAGCAGTACTATACTGCAGTTTGGTACCAGCCAGGCGAAATATTTCCTTCCAAAAAGAACTGAGAAAGATCTTGTCACGATCAGAAGTGATGCTCTTTGGAAACCCATGGAGTCGTACTATCTCCTGAACAAATTTCTGAGCCACCTCGATTGCTGTAAACGGATGTTTTAAACACACAAAATGGGCAAACTTACTCAATCTATCAACAACCACCAGAATAGAGTTGAATCCATTAGAACGAGGCAGTCCTTCTATGAAGTCCATATTGATGTCTTCCCAAATCATCGTTGGAATAGGGAGAGGTTGGAGAAGTCCTGCCGGAGACAGAGTAGAATGTTTGTGTGTTTGGCAAACGTGACAAGCTGCGACATACTCCTGAATAATTTTGTACATGCCCTTCCAAGCAAAAGAACACTGAATGCGCTTCACTGTCTTTAGAACTCCGGAATGGCCCCCCATCTTACTGTCATGAGCTTCATTTAATATCAAGGGAATGAAACGTGAAGTCTTTGGTATGACCAGCCTGTGTTTTGACCATAATTTTCCCTCACTGATATGATATTTCTTTGACTTCAAAACCCCTGATTGAATCTTCGAGATAGTACTCTGAATCCGCTTATCCTCACTGATCTCACGGTACAAATCCTCCCACTGTAAGACCGTCGGTACTGTCAGAGCTAACAACAAGGTGGACACTGAGATTGATCTTGATAATCCGTCAGCAGCTTTATTTTCAGGACCAGGCTTGTAAAAAATCTCAAAATCAAAACCAAGGATCTTTGTCAACCACTTCTGATATTCAAGATTCACTTCTTTCTGTTCCAAGAGAAACTTCAAACTTCTCTGATCAGTATGCACATGAAATTTACGACCCAACAAGTAGTGCTTCCATTTCCTTATCGCCATGACAATCGCCATTAGTTCCCTTTCATAGGCAGGTTTCAACTGTTCTCTAGGTGTTAAAGCGTGACTGAAAAATGCAATAGGGCGCTTGTTCTGCATCAATACAGCCCCCAACCCAAAGCCCGATGCATCAGATTCGATCACAAAAGTTTCTTGAAAGTTAGGCAGAGCGAGAACAGGTGCATGAACCATCGCATATTTGAGTTTATCCAATGCGGACTGAGCTTCCTGAGACCAACAAAATTGATCTTTCTTCAATAGACTTGTTAACGGCCGAGCAATGGTGCCATAATCCTTCACATAACGTCGATAATACCCCGTTAAACCAAGGAACCCACGCAATTGTTTGACTGTTTTTGGAATAGGCCAAGACGTCATTGCAGCAGTTTTAACTGAGTCGGTAGCAACACCATTTTCAGAAATAATGTGACCAAGATATTCGACACTTTTTACACCAAAAGTGCATTTCTTCTGATTAGCAAAGAGTTTATGTTCACGCAAGACCTGCAGCACTAGACGTAAATGAATCTCATGATCCTCCTGATTCTTGCTGTAGACTAGAATGTCATCAAAAAAAACCAAGACAAAACTGCGGAGGAAAGGCTTGAACACTTTGTTCATAAGAGCCTGGAATGTTGCTGGTGCATTCGATAATCCAAACGGCATAACCAGGAACTCGTAATGGCCTTCCACTGTCCGAAATGCTGTCTTATGAATGTCCTCTTCTACCATCCGGATCTGATGATAACCAGAGCGAAGATCCAGTTTAGAAAAAACTGATGCTCCATGTAACTCATCTAACAGTTGATCAATCACTGGAATTGGATACTTGTCCAAAACTGTAGCTCTGTTCAATGCTCGATAGTCCACACAAAAACGTAAAGACCCGTCTTTCTTCTTGACCAAAAGCACTGGACTAGAGAACGGACTTGTGCTGGGACGTATAATACCCGTAGCTAACATATCTGTGACCATCTGCTCCATGGCCACCTTGCTAGCATGAGGATATCTGTACGGTCGAACAGATACAGAAGACACTCCGGGAATCAGATTTATAGCGTGTTCATGTCCCCTAAAAGGTGGTAATGTAGTAGGAATCTCGAACACGTCTTGAAAATCTTGGAGTATCTTGGAGTAAAGGAAACGAACTTCTGGGACTGGTGATGTAGCTATAGAAGAAGCAAGAAGCGCTTCCCTTCCTATCTTGCTACTTGTATAGACTGGTTTCAATGATTTGAAAGAGAATCGTGTGCAATGTAGAGCCTTTTCTCCTACCAAAGTCACGCGATTCCCATTATAGGTGAAGGAAAGGACCTGCTCCTTCCAGTCCACTTCACAAACACCTAAAGTTTCAAGCCATTGAACACCCAGTATCACATCAACATTCCCCAGTTCAAGAGAGATGAAATCGCCTGTGAAGTTGGTTTTATTGAGTTGGAAATTAACTGCTTGGCATACTCCTAATGCGTTTACAGTAACCCCATTTCCCAACAACACATCCAAGCTACTATCTGCAGAAACTCTCAAGTGTAGCTTGGTCACAACTTCTGGTGATATGAAGTTGTGAGATGCTCCGCTATCAAGCATGACGATCACCTCTAAGTTGTTAATGTACCCTCTCATCTTCGTAGTCTTCGGAGAGTTGATGCCCAAATATGAGTTTAATGACAATGTGTGGAGAACTTGTTGTTGTGGTTGTTCCGGTAACTCTTCTTCTTCTTCAGAATTAACCACCTCAAGTTCTAAGCCATTGATCACAGTGAGGACTCGTAACATTCGGTTCGGGCAATCTTTGTTGTGAGCCGGTGTCCAAGGTGCTTTACATCTGAAGCAAATTTTGTCTCTACGCATCCTATCAAGTTCTGCATCAGAGTGTTGCAAGCGTGGTCTCACATTGTTGCGTTGAGGGGCAACATTTTCTTTGGTTGCAGACGGAGTGATTTTAGAAGGCTCAGTCTGCGTCTTAGTGTTGTAAGTAGCCGCACGAGACACTGACGTCTGTCGTTGATAGCCTCCCCGCCCTTCACCAGCGGCCGAGCTTATCACGCTACAGAACGTAGTGCTTTGCATTTTAAGAACAGCAAGCTTGTGTTGAGTCAAGGTAACCGGTTCTTTCATACGAATGACTTCCTTCATGTCCGGTTTGAGGCCGTTAAAGAAGACCTTGATCAAATTCTTCTCATCCACGCCTGTGACTTGGTTCCTTAATGTTTCAAATTCATGCACTACTCTTCAATCTCCCCTTCTTGTTTGACTCTAAAAAGGCGAGCTGCCGGATCATTATCAATAGGACCTCCAAATCTGTCCAGCATCCGCTGCGTAAACTGCTCCCAACTGACAAACGGATCATCAAGAAATTCACCGTTGAACCATTGAAGAACAGGACCTTCCAAGCTTAAAGACACCAGATGCAGCTTCTCCTCCTCATTGAAGTTACCAATCCTGAAAAATCTTTCTGCACGAGATATCCAATCGAACGGCAAAGAACCAGAAAACACAGGCATCTCAATTTTCCTCAACATTTTATCACGATTCATTAGATTCCCAAGGATTCCCCGATAACCTAACTGTGTTTGAGCTCTTTCCGGTTCAGATAAAGAGATAGGTACCTGATCCTTCTGTGGATTTGAAGAAGACGCAATCTCTTTCCCAGGACGTTGAGTAAACACCGCAGTGTCCTCTAAACGAACCAATACATCAGTAATATGAGTCATTTGCTTCTCAATTGCTTCGAAGCGTGAAAGCGAATCATTAGCCATTGAATCCATCTTCGAATTGATCTCCTCGAACTTCGCCGTCGTCGCGCGGTCACTCCGAGCCAATTTTTCGTAATTAATCTTCGATAACTCGAGCTCGTCAAGAATCAGCTGAATCTCCGACGATTTTCCCGAGTTCGTCGTCATCTGTTTCTCTTGATCTCCTCCGTTACGCGTCTCTACCATCTCGTTCGCTCGCGGTGGTTCCGATCAAGTTTCGCCGCACCAATGATAGACTCTAGTTATTGTTAATCTTGTAAAGAATCTTCTCTTGTATTACTTTGAATATAGAAGTGTTTACAGCTTTGAAGTACGATTTCGAATCACTCTCATCACGAGTTCATCTCCATCGTCAGTCTCATAACGACTGTTAGCTCTAGACTCATAACGTCAAAGAGTTTCAACAAACAAAGCATAAACACAACTCACAACGACTACTTCCTTTTATACTATCTGACTTAGACGATTTAATCTATAACTGCTAACCCTCTCTTTCCACCCGAGGTTCTTCAACTCTTCTTATTCTTTAAAGTCTCTCTCCTATTCAGAAGGTTCCTCGTTTGAACCATTTCCCTCCACTTCAACGTCTTCTTTCTCCTCTCCTCTCTTCTTTCTTCGAACATATACTTTCTTGAACCTATCAGTATCCTTGAAGTCTGCGATGAACCGCTAGTGTATGTTGATTTCAGATGCTCAGATGTGTCGTCCACCATTGATTCTTCACTCACTATGGTGATTGCTTGGTATGATAATGAATGGGGTTACTCACAAAGAGTTGTTGATTTGGCTGACAATGTTGCCAACAACTGGAAGTGGTCTGTAATGAAAATCAAAACTTGTCTCTCATGTTTTCTGATTCTCAAAACATCGGTGAAGACTGTATAAACTGTAGCACTGAGTTGTGGATTTGTAATAATGATTAAACTCAATTTAAACTTGTTTACATTTGGTACTTTATGAAACTCTTCGTAACAGGTCTCAAACATATAAACAAAAAATTAATATACATAGATGTAATGCAATAATACATATTGGTCTTTACAAGAATACACAAACGTGTAATGGATCCTAAAAACATTGCTAAGAGAAGAATGTACCTGAGAAACTGTCTACTTAAGCCTTTGAAGGGTGATGAGATGTCTTTCTTGTTCCTTCTTCTTCCATAGCTAGTTTGCTCCATCCTGATCCTCCTCTCATGGACAAGATCTTAGCCCTCTCAAGCACGTTTCCTCTAAACCCTGTAATCTTCGAAGATACCATTGGCATCACAAGAATAGCAGATGCGTTGATAGAGTCTTCACCAAAGCCCAATGCTGTTAAACAAGCAGTCTGCAACACAGAAAAGAAGAAGAAGGGTTAAGTTTGTTGTTTTAGTACTGTTGATAAAGCTTACCAGTGAAGATATATTTGCTTTGTGGGGTACCTTTGTCTTGGCAATTAGATCAGCTGCTTTCATATGTTGTCCATGTACAGCTACTCTTGTGTCTTTGCTATGTCCATCTTCAAATGATTGTGATATCAACCTGTCCTCCTCGGAGGATACTATTGAGTCAAGATTCTCTTTTGTCTCGTTGCCTCTTGTATCATCAGGTGCTAGTAAAGATATGCCTATGAATACACACATCATTCCTAATATGAACATTGTCGTTCTTAAAGCATCAAAAACCTGTTTAAAGAAGAAGAGGATGATAAGCCTGATGATACAAGATAACCAAACTAATCATGCTAAGGAACCTTCTTTAGTAAGATGAACCTGAAACTCTTGAAAGTAGATGAATCCTGTACAGATGGAAAAGAAAGTCCAAGCAATCTGAAACATTGGAACTATGAGAATTGCGTCATACAGAGACAATCCTTCATTCAATCTTGTCATCTGCAACAAAAAGCACATTATAAAGATCTTTACTTTAGTAACTTAATTGTCTCAATGGCACAACAAAGCAGACTAAAACTTCATTAGCTTTAAGGCTTTACCCAGAATCCAGCTGTACTAAGAAATAACAGAAGCATAGAGTATGTGAACCAGCTGTGCAACTGATAGCTACTAGACATGGCCAACCTCAGCAAGTTTGAGCTGCAAGATGAAGCTCAAATTAGCATAACTTATCGGTTTGTTAAAGTAAAAAGCTAGCAGATTGACAAACTCACAGTGACTTGGCGAATAAAACAGAACATGATCCTATAGCGCCAGAGACCACAGCATATGAGAAAGGAAGCAACAGTTTCCAATAGGAGCTAATCTCTTGTCCAGGTACAGATAACAAAACTTCTCCTTTCCTATACACTCCAATCAAAGATATCACAAAAGAGGGCCAATATTTGTAAGATAGTGCAATGCTAAGACTTACCTATAGAGGAAATGGTTTACGGCTACGATTATAATCAAAATCCCACAGTACACCAGGAATGTGACATTGCTGTATTTCTCTGCCAACTCTTCAGGTGTGAAAACTGAGCACATAAAAGACTTTGCATTAGTTCACACTTTTTGGTAAAAAACGATAAACCAAAACTGTTGAAGAAAAGTTTACCTGGAGACTGGTGGTTACCAAATGCTACAAGAAAAATGTTTCCAAGAACTATAAAGGCTGTAGCAACATGTACTCTGTGACAAGAGGCATACCAAACAAAAATTAGAAGAGAGGGATGGATAAAGTAGATTAGTAAAGATTGCAAAGCGAGGATGGTTACGTACTTAACGGTGACCATTTTGTTAAGTACAACATAAGCAAACGCTATGTTGGATACAAATTGAATTGAACCAAGAGCTGCTAGAAGAGACTGCAAAGAGAGTTCTTAAAGGTAAGAAAACCAAAGAGATGCAACAATCAAAATCAAACCAATCTACCTGAGCAGCATAACCAAAGGAAATGAAATTGAAACAATTCCCAAGAAGAAAGACAAGGATCCCTGTAAGTTTTCCAACAACATTAAGGCGTCATAACATAAACTTCAAAGGTAGGGGAAAAGGCGTTTAAAAAGACAAAAGCAAATACCAACTCTCCATGTCTGAAAATGTACAATCGGCTTCAACTTCAACGGCGTCTTTCCTCCAACATTATCCTGTAAAGCCAACCTCTCTCTCTGATAAACACACAAAAGTAAAGTTCAGGAGATCAAAAATGTAAAACACCAGATAGTATTTACCAGAGGCAAAAAATGCAAAACCTCATTATGTCCTAATTTGAGAAGGTTAGTGCCGAAATTAATAGCAACGCTTCCAAAAACATTAATGAAAGCTCCAATGACCCACTCTCCCATGGTTTTAAAAAGAACAGAGACAGCAGCTCAATTAATAATCATCTAAAAAGCTTCAAACTTGACGCAAATCAATCACTAAGCCTTGAGAAATCTGCAAAGAGAAGAAACCCTTTAAGCATTAAAGGTTATTATTGCAAAAGAGATAAAAAGACACAACAAGCTTGGAGCTTTGGTTAGATGATAAAGAGATTTAAAATTGGGGCAATGCAGAAGCAAAAGGGTTATCTGAGATTAGCATAGAGAAACCTGGGAAGGAGATGATGGAAGAGGTTCAGATCCAGATTGATTCTAAAACAGCAGAGCAGAGAGCAATGACAAGTTCTTCCTCTGTCGAATAAATAAAAAGTTGGATATATATATTTATTTATTTCACTTTTATAAACAAAAAAAAAGTTTTGATTTTTATTCGTAAAGGAAGAAGAAGACTTAGTCGCCGAGAATTTTCTCAACGACGGTGACGGGATTTAGAGGAAGACGACGAAGAGATTATTCGAACATAGAAATTGATGTTGTCGTTTTTTTTTTTAATCTTGTCTTCATGCTGCTCCTCACGTTTTGTTGGGCTTTTTTTTTTACCACTCTCTTTCTCTCAATGGCCGAAAAGCATCCTTTGATAAAAATGTTTATTTGAAAGTAAAGTTGACCCTTTTGACCTTTCGTTTTCACTTTTTTTTTTCCAGATAATGTTAATGAAGACGACGAAGAAGAAGGTATTGGTTCTGGTCAATGACGACCGGAGACGTCGACTGCTTCGAGAAAAAACTTAGAGAGGATCTCCATTGACCAATGAAACTTCCATGCTGTTGTTACTCTTTTTCCTCTTTCGCATTTATTTTCTCGTATTGCTAATTTTGCACCACATTTCTGTGTGGATTATCTGCACGAACATGCCTTTCGCTATGGTTGTTTCTGCTTATTTCCTTGTTCACTTTCACGCTGATCATTACACTGGTCTCATAAAACAAGGATTTTTAAGTCCCCAATTTTTTTTTAAAAAATATAATATAGACAAAAGCTCAATTTTTTTTTATATTTAAGACCGGTCCTGCATGGTCTCATTTACTGCTCCTGTCTCTATTAATCCCTAATAAGTTATTTGCTAATGCCATTTATGTCTATCCTTCGAAGTTGAGTATTTAGTTTTCTGTGTGGTGATTTCTTACTGCATTGGAAAATAATGTGTTTAGCTAGCTATCGCTAAAGCACTTGTGTGTATAAATGGCTGGAGCAATTTTTTTGTTTTTCTTAGCCTTCTTCTCTGCACTTCTAAGCTTTAACCTCGTGAGGTATTGAGGTCAAGATATCTGCAAATGCTCCAAGACGACCAATACTGCAATCTTTTGGTTGGGATGATATCTGAACGGATCTTTGTACAGATGGGAAAGCCACATGTCTTTCATGTTCTGCCTATGTCAGCACTGAGAGTTGAATGAACTATTTATCTAAAGATGTTTATCTCTCAAGTATTAGGGTAAGTATATTATTTTATATAGTTCTTTAGTCAACCTCTCATGAGAAAACAACTCCAAAGATACTTCCTATTGTGTTATTAGTTAACAATAATAACATCTTAATGGAGTAGTAGCCTCTCTATATGTCTCTTTGGGAATCACATGCTAAACTTGGAACAAACTGAGTCTTAATCATTTAGCTCCTCATGTTTTTTGCTTACAGAAGAAGCTTTTCAACAATTCAGAATATAATAACAGTTGAAGAAGTTTGATGTGCCTAACAGAAACTAATTAACTACAGAGTAGTACTGAAGAACCGATTTGACGCTCTTCTCGATTTGAAATGCTCGAAGCAGCCGCAAGAGTCTCTTCTTTTGTCCTTCCATCTTCTGCCATTACTCTTAGAAACTCTTCAAGAGCACACTGCATCCACTCATACCGACACAGTTCCAAAGCTTCTTTAACATTCAGCTGTGTGTTTTTATACAACAAACCCATATCAGTAACTTTTACTATAAAGCACATACAAAAGCAGCAATGTGTGCTACGTACCCATCTCCTCTCGCGGTTCTCATGTTCTGGCCATGTCTCAAGTTCTTCAGTCACCTCTAACGCAAACATATAGCCTTTGCATCCACCTAGGCAGCAGTCAGGCTCCATACTGCTACTCTTGCTTCTAAACTCCCAAACTCCTAATGGATCTTCCTATAGGAAACAATATTCAAGTCTAAATCTATACAAAGAACTTGGATGAAGGATCTGTGATGGAAACAGAGAACTCACTCTTAGTATTCCTTTGATTCCAGCTTCTTCCATGGCTTCACGAGAAGCAGCTTCAAGAACAGTTTCATCATCTTCCCATCCTCCCTGAAGATTTAGTACACAAAGCATTTTGAAATTTCAAATGCATTAAAACATGAAGAAATAGATACAAGAAAAAAAAGACAAAAACCTTTGGGAAGACAAGATCGTGTCGGTTAGGAGATGAAACCATAAGAACTTGGAGCTTGTTTTCAAAGTCAACAGTTGAGTCCTCTTCATCTTTCACTAGTCTATACGGAATGCATCTGTCATCAATATGTCAACATCAATTATTACTTACTAATTTTCCACCATTTAAATGAAACTAAAAAGTAAAAACACATCATGTCAAGAACTATTCAAGAATTGATAAAGTCAACCGCAAGGAAAAGAAAAAGAAAAAAAGATTTTAATACCCAGAAACAAGACGGAAGTTGTTGTCATAACGTTGACGGTCTCGTCCTGTTCGTGCTGAAAGATTAGACATTTTGATAAACCTACAAATAATGAAATCAAAACAATTCAGAAAAAAAAAACAGAGAACAAGAAAAGAGAGAGAATAAGAGGATGAAATTAATTACAAGAAAAATGCAGCTTCTAAAAAGGTTCTGTGTTTGTAGGTTTGTTGGTGTCAGCAAGAAACATTAGCATAGGTTCCACGAAGAATCATCTTGTTCAATGATGAAGTTCATTTTTTTTTTACCCAGAACTAAAGAGAGAGGAAACTGAAATTCAAAGAAGAAAAAAGAGAAGGAATGGTTATGGGGGTGTTTGCCATCAATAGGAAGCAGAAGCTGAGAATTTTCCGGGGGACAAATGTAAGAGCTGACCAAGGGGAGCATTCAATTCTTTAATAACCACCACCCATCTTCTATTCTTTTTCTATTTCACGTTTCCTAATTTTTATACACTTTTATATATCATGAGGATGATATATAATGAACTTGGTGAGTCCATTTAGGAGTGTTTTATTTAGTTAAACTAAACATATACGAAGCCAGACAAAACAATCAATTATAAAGTCGGATATAACTCTGGTATGGATATGGTTCTAGTTGGAGAAATATGCTCTTTTAAATCTAAAACTAGAGTTTGATCTATGCATCCATACACATTTATTTAATCTATTAAAATTTAGGCTTGTAATAAATTATTAAATACTATATAATTGTATTACACCATTTTAGTCACTAATATATAATATTTTAAACTACTACTTTGTCAATTAGGTGTTAATGAAATTAATTTACTTTTCATTACTTAGAACAAAAGTTGTTAATTTAAGTTGTCGAATAAAAAATAATATTAATTGAAAAAGAAAAGACAGTTTCTATATTTTCGGAAATAATATAGTACTTCGTAATTTTTACTACTTATGTTCTAAAATATTTTATTTACGCATAATTTTTTTTGTGTTCTTGTAATTCATAATATTTTCAGAATTATAATTGTATTTAGTTGAAAAAAAATGTATTCTTTCATTTTTTTCCTCAAAAAAATGCATTATTTATCTGATTCAAAATGATGTACTATTAAAAATGGTCTTAGTTTTCACAAATAAGAAAACCAAACAGCCTCAAGATTCAACACCTCTAAGTTCATAAAACTTTAGCTTTAAATGGGAACTAGAATTTGACCTGCACGTCCGTGCGGATGTTTATTTGTAGAGTTATATATATATATATATATCAATATTTTCTATAGTTTTTGGTAGAGTATATTTTTACATTTATATGTATTAAATATTTACTTAATATAACATTTATATAGGGCTGCAAATTTGAAGAACCGAACCGAATCCGATCTAAAAAAGTAGTACTAAACTGAATCGAAATTGATTGAATATCAGAATGAGTTCAAAATTTTGGTATTTAGAGAACCCAACCCAACCCAAAGCGCAGTATTATGGGTACCCGAATGTATCCGAAATAGATTTATATACATAAACATATTTATTATTTTTAGATTAAATATATATACTAAAACATCCAAAATATATAAGATACATTTAAATTATCAAAAATACTTTAAAATATATATAAATAGTCAAAAGTAAAATACTTAAAATATATATTGACTCTCTATCCAAGTATTCAAACCAAACCAGTTTATATGTTAGTTTTAGATATTTAACATATGTTATTCAAATTTATATGAAATATAACATTTTGTTTATAGATTTTCAGAAATCTAAAAGAGTAAAATAAATTTTACAAATTTTAAAATAATCTAAAGGGTTATCCAAATCCGAGCCGAACCCACAAAGATTTGAACTAAACCCCAACCAAAATTTATAAATATCTGAACGGTACTGAAATTTTTGATCCCGAAAATCCAAAACTCGAATAGGCCCGTACTAATTTATACACCAAATTTTTTCCTTATATGAGTAAATTTTATTTATTCATCTAACTGTCAATTAGATTAGTAATTTTATTTATTTATCTAAATGTCGCACTGACATACAAATATAGTTATAGAAAATATGCATGAAACAACACATTTAAAAACCATTTTTATTTAATATTTTTAGTAATAAATATTTACATGGGTTTGTAAAGATTTATTTCTTAGTAATAAATATTAAGGAATAGACTATAAAGAATATTTTGTTGAACAATTGTCTATTTCTACGGTGTGATCATATCAAGAATTGGAATATATTGGTACAGTAGAACCTCTATAAATTAATACTCGATAAATTAATAATCTCTCTAAATTAATAAATTTTGCCGGTTCCAACTTGGGCCGGTAAATATATGGTCCCATTAAAATCATAAATTAATAATTTATATTATACATATTTTATATAAGTAATAATCTATTATTATATTGTTTGTTTTATATTTACAAGGAAATTCTCTTTATATTTTCTTGACACTTAATAAATTGTTGATGGGATTTAGTAATATTATATCTAAAACCATATTTAAATTCTATGAAATATATATTATATACACCAAGTAATATAAGAAATTTAATATAAATGTCAAATTTCAAAAAAATGATAATAAATATCTATACCCTAGCATCAATTTTTTTTTTTTAAGAATAAATATATCTTAAAATAAAAAAATTAAATAAGGAAACTTTGGTAAATTAATATCTCTATAAATTAATAAAATTTCAAAGTCCCGACATTATTAATTTATAGAGGTTTAACTGTAGAAGACAAAACCAATATGCTTGATAAATATGGTAATGTCTTATTAAAATTTAAAGAGGTACCTAAGGTATCTTATATTTTACGGAATATGGGAATATGTATAACCGGTTTGATTATTATTATGCCTTATGATTTGTTTTAATGTCAGTGGCAATCTCTTGTAACTATTTAGGAAAAATCAGGGTTAAATTCTAATTGTACTTCTATTTTAATAGATTAAGGGCCCGATTGATAATGACTTTCACTTTAGACTTTGACTTTAGAATTGTGGTTGTAGAGATTTTGGCTTTAAAGGCTGTAACTGTTACTTTAGAGAAAATGAAAAGCCTGATTGATACTCAAAACTTTAAAAATTGTGACTGTTATAAATATATGTTTATAATTCATTTTTCAAAATGTATTGCCTATTTTTTATTTATACACGTTCATAAAATATATTGGATAGTTTAAAAACAGAAAATCAATCAAATTTATCAACAATATATTTTATTTCTTTATTGTAAAAATTTGAAATTGTAATCAAAAAAATTATTTTTCTTAAATTTAAAATATGATAATAATTTAAATAAATAAAAATTATTAAAAATTAAAATTTCTTAAATAAAACAAAAAAATATTAAAAAATTAACGGGTTCTAGCCCATATGTTGTTTGCAATCTCATCTCGAACACCTTCCATGTATTGTCTTGAACTGATACTGCCCTCCCCTATATAGACAAAGAAATCCACAACGTAATGCATATCCTGAATCACTTAGATAATATTTACCATCAGGTGGATGAGGAAAATTGGTATCAGCTTCGATAGCAAGGGAAAGAACTTTCGCATCATGATCAGATCATGGAATTACAACATAAGCATATGTGAATAACATGTCTAAGTTACATATCGCAAGGATGTTCATAGATGTATCTCGGTGCCTATTCCAGTATCTTCGTTGATTTCTTCCAGACACCATAACATAAAACATGAGTTTTATCAATTGCACCAATAAATCCTTTGAAATATGGCCAATAATACTTATTTGATTGCAATTTAGGATGGACTTGCATAAGAGACGCCGGATCGGGAGCAAACATATCAATAGCCATTGATACAAGTGCAACAAGTACCTCATGGAACTTTCTGGAAATTGTTTCTGCTGAATGACCAAATGTATGCATTGCAGTCCGTTGTGTTATATTATGTCCACACATATGTAAAAATATAGCCACACTTTCTTTTGCAGACATATTATATGTATCACACAAGCCATACATATCTTGGAGATCACCGCATAATTTAGTAAATACCTCCGGCCACATTCTTAACATATTGTGGCATTGTGTGGGGTGACCATTGATCATATCATGAAGAAGTTGCCGTCCACGGTCAGCATCTGAACATAAAGTCTCGTGATTCTTTTATCTTGATTAGTTTCTTCTGATTCGAGTAAAAAGCCATCACCCTCTTCATCTTCAAATATTTTCCATAGTAGAGCCATATTCTGTATTAAGAGATAAAATAATAAAAGTTTATTTAATTATAGAAAGAAAAAACAACAACGAGGATTTATTTCACTTAATAAACATATATATTTTCATAGTTATCATTCGATATTTAAAAAAGTGTATGTGGTACTCTACCTTTCTTGAATAAACATATATATTTTCAATTATTTATACAATAGTTTTAGTTTTTAGCAGATTAATAATCTATTAATAGTAAAGTATGACTTTTTCTTGATGGTAAAACCCAATTTAACTAATGAAAATGAATTTATAAATCATTGTATTTATTTTTTCTTTCAATTATTATACTTTTTGAATCATTCGTAAATGTTTTCAATTATTTATAAAAATTTTTTTAGTCTTTAACAAATCAATAGTCTATTAATAGTAAGGTATGATTTTCTCTTGATGGTAAAATTTAAACTAACTAATGAAAATGAATTTATAAATCATTGTATTTATTTTTTCTTTCAATTATTATACTTTTTGAATCTATCCTAAATGTTTTCAATTATTTATATTTTTTAGTCTTCAACAAATTAATAGTCTATTAATAATAAGGTATGACATTTTTTGGTGGTAAAACGTAAACTAACTAATAAAAATGAATTTATTAATCATTATACTTATTATTTCTTTTATATTAGTAAGAAATGAGCAAAAAGTCAAAAAAAAAAACAAATCGCGTTTTTTTGTCATAGAAAAAGAAGTGAGAGAGTGTTGTAAAGTCTCAAAAGTGGCTGTAAAAAAAACAAACAAAAAACAGTTTTTTTTTAAATGGGCTTTTAGGACTTTACAAATTTCTAAAGCATAAAAGAAGTGATTGGCAAA